TGAGCGAGATCATACTAGATTTCCACGATCGCCTCAAGTCGATCAGCTCCGGATACGCCAGCTTCAGCTACGAGGACCATGGCTATCACCTCACCCAGCTGGTCCGGCTGGACATCCACCTGAACGGGAAGCCCGTCGACGAGCTTTGCCGCATCGTGCACAGCTCCAAGGCCACCGGCGTAGCCCGCCAAATGGTGCACAAGCTCAAGGATCTTATACCCAAGCAGATGGTTCAGATCGCGATTCAGGCCTGTGTCGGCAGCAAGGTGCTGGCCCGCGAGACTATCAAGGCTTACCGAAAGGACGTCACTGCCAAGCTCTACGGCGGCGATGTGACGCGTCGCATGAAGCTCCTGAAACAGCAGGCCGAGGGTAAAAAGAAGATGCGACTCTTCGCCAACATCCGTGTGCCCCACGAGACGTTCATCAATGTTCTGAAACGCTAGGATCTGCATTTGGCACCCACCCACACCCACACCCACGCACAAACACAAACACATGTACGATTAACAGGAAATGGAAAAGATACGATGCGCTGGGATCCTCATTTGGCTGCATTGTGCGTCAGCAGACATAAACTCATCGATTGACCCCAGCAGCCCCCATCCAAATGTGGGATTAACAGGAGAGAGGAGGAAGGATATGGACCCGTTCTTGTTTGTGTGTGAGGTAAGTGCCACACTATCTCCCTCTCTCTCTCTTTCTTATCCCTTGAATGACGCTCCCAAGGCATGGCGTGGGCAGCTTATCGTCAGCAAACCGGGTGGGGACCCCCAACCGAAAGCTGCTTCCACTCCAATCTCCGCCCCAGTGGTTTCCGTGGTAAAAGATAACCTTTCATCATCGCATGAACATAGCAATATGTACATACATATGGATTACAAGCCAAAAGTGAGGAAATGGGCGTGACCACATCCACGCCCCTATTTCACAATGTTAATTAACTTGAGCTAGAGCTAGATAACTATTTTTGGTACTCATAGTTATTTGTAAATTTCTTTAGATTTCTGGGGATTGAGTGCTTTAATTCTTATATTATTGTATCCGCCACACCTTAGCATGAACTCTGTTTCCACTCTAGTTCTGGTGGGAAGAATTTTCATTCTACATGGATATAAATCTCGATTTGCATTTGGTAGTAGAAATAGTAGAAATATGATTACATTTTGTTATTCAAATGTATCTTTTGGTAAAGATTAATTTAACGATTAAAATACATTCGAAAGTTTCTGCTTGGGATGGTAACATTTTCCGACTTTAGTTCACCCAGCTTTAAGGTGAAAAGTCGAAGGGTATTAGGAGCTTCGTAGCAGTTCACGGGAAAGCGTTCCGTTCTTGTTTGCTTTTACATTGCCCGTTAATGCCTTTTCGTATTATTTTTGTTGTTGTTTCTGTGGCACCCTCAATGAAAACAAAAAGAGGAAGAGGAATAGCAAGGCAAGGCACAACAAAAAATCGAATTTCCCTGACCCTGAAATGTGGCACAGAGACACACTGACGTACACTCGCGCAGTCAGAGAGCGCTAGATATTGTGCATAACGGTATCCTCCCGTCTCCCCAAACACAACTTGAGCACACACATACTGCCATACAAAAAATCTGTGTTCGAATGGAAATGCGTGTGTGTGTGTGAGATAGCAAGTTCTTGGTTCGCTTGTGTCTCGCTCCCGGCGAAAATGTTGTTGTTTATGAGAAAGATAGAGAGAACGAACGCCAGATTCGTACCGAACCGAACCTCCAAACCTGTGGGTGCGGGTGCGGGCGCTGGCGGTGTCGTTCATCTCTATGTATGTATGTGTGCGTGTTTGTGTTTATGTGACCTTGAAAAACAATAACATTTTTGTTGCTGCTGTTTCGCTGCTGGCTCTACTTTGCTATGGGTAACATGCAAATTGCAAATAAACCAAATCTGAGCAAAACTGTCAAATGGTTATGCAATAAACACGGGACAACGGAAGCTAAAAACTGGAAGGCTCAAGGGAGAACGAGGCAGACTGCAGCTTGTCGATCAGCTGTGGAAATGCCAACTTGTTGCAGTTCGAGATGATATGAGAGAGAGAGTGCAAGTGGGAGAGTGATAGTGACAGGGACTCTGACGGTGACGGTGACTGTGCTGCAGCAGCCTCCCACTCTTTCTCTTTCGCACCCTCCTTCTCCCCTTCCAGGAATCACTTGCACTTTGTTTCCACCTCCTGCTCTTCAAAGAGCAGAGAAGGAGACGACAACAAGAGTGCGCTGAAAAACAGCTGAGTCTGGCCTCCATGCCCAAGTGCAAGAGAGATCGCAAGAGTTGGTGCTCTCTCTGTGTTCAGCGGTTATTTTGTGCATATGTAAATGTGGGGAACGGAACGACCAGGAGGAGCACAAGACACACACAAGCAAGCATATGCAGAAAGGGAAAAAGATAGAAAAAGTCCGTGTCCGTGTCGCCTCTGCTGCTGCGCGCAATTGAACTCACAGAGCAGCAGCAAGCAGCAGCGACGCGACTTCGTCTCGACACATCGACATCGTCGTCGTAGTCCGCCGTCGCCGTCGCTATCGTTGTCGTTGCTCTGCCGCACACAAAACACAAAAACACAGTCAGTTTTCATTCTCATTTGACATCATCAACATTGAAATTAAATTAAATAAGAGCAGAGCGGCCGAGCACTGTGACTGCGAGTGCGATTCGATTTCTTCGATTCAAGTAAATACTTTAGTTGAGACTATTTCAGGCGGGGCTTCATTAATGCCCCTTGCAGGTGCATCAGTTTTCATTTAGGAAATGGATAAATAAAATTCCGCTATGCCATTTCCTCCACAATACATTTTTGCAAAATAGTCGACGCGCACAAAATAACAAACGTCATCAGCTGTTTCTTTAACTGTGAGTGTGTGCGAGCGTATGGCTGTGTGCAAGAGTGTGTACGTGCGGTAGCGAGTCTGTTAGTGTGTTTGGGTTTTGTACACTTTTCGTTGTTGTTTTTTCGTCGAAATGAAAAAAGTGGACAAATAGAAAAAAACAAAAATTGATTGCATCTAAACCTAACCTAGAAACGGAATTGAAAACGAGAATTGGTTGTTTGAAGGTTATGGCGATGCCATTGCCTCGACCACCCTGCGACCCCACCACCAGCCGTCTCAATGGCTTGGCCTTGACCGTGTGTGTGTGTTTGTGTTTCAGTATGCGTATGCGTGTGTGTGTGAATTTGTGTGAGACAGGCAGCAACAGCGACAAAAGCAACGGTAGCCAACAGCTGACAGCTGCAGTTGGATTTTTGCTCTAAGTGGCAGCCCCGAAGATCCTCCCACCGCTCCAAAACCACACTCCACACGCTGTCAAACTGTTACGGAAGGAAAATTACAAGAAAAAGGGAACAGTTAAGCCCTGTGCGTTGAATGCAAGCAGTAGAAGCAGTAGAAAAGCGCAATCAAGTTCAAATCAAAATGCAAAAGAGAGAGAAAAGGCGAACGGCATCGCACGCACGCACACTTGCAAACTCATGAACCTGCGCGCATTCGCACTCTCGCTCCCTCATACCTATACAACGATGGCAATCGCACAGCTGTACACGTAGCCAGTGTTCATCGCGAGAGTGTTTTGTTGTTTTCTTTTTTTGTTTTACTTTTTGTTTTCTTTATTTTGTTGTCAGATAATTGTGCAATCCAATCGAAGAAAGTTGATGAAAGAAAGAAAAATGGTAGACCAAGTAAAATATTAATATTGAATCGAGCAGTGAAACACGAAATGGCATATGTGCGTACATATGTATAAAAATTGTGTGAAATTAGCAGATGGTGTGCGTGAGAGAAGAAGGAGGAACTTCGAAAGAATTCAGTTATTTTTCACTAAGATTGCTAACCTGGCAAAATACGACCAGTGTTGTAAACAGTTACAGTCTGCTGTGTTCCCTTTTAGAAAATTTGATTAACTTCGTTTTATTTTTCGCTTAATTTGTTTATGCAAGTACAGGCATACATACATACATATGTATTCGCTGACCGATCAGGCAGTCATACAACTATATAGAAATATGTACATTTGTACGCCATTGTATGTGCGTAAAAAAATATCGCTTTCGCATACGTACACATATGTATGTATATGTATGTACATGTATGTTGGTATAAAAATCGCACAAAAAGAGAGTAGTGTTAATATCTCACTTATTCATACATGCTCCTCCTCCTCCCGTTTAGGCGCAAAATAACATAAAATTTCATAATAATAAAAAACGCACTAGTGTTGGTGTGAGTTTTTTGCGTTATTTTTGTTTAAAAAAATTATTGAGAGGGGGCGGTGAATGGAAGCAAGTCTACGCATCGAAACACACAAACACAGCTGATAGTGGTTGACGCACTAGAATATGCACACACATGTGCACACACACACGCAGGTCACTCTCTCTTGCTTGTGTGAGGTGCTTAAAATTGTAAACAACTCAATATTGTTTAACAGGGCTGCCAAGTCCTGTCAACGATCGATTTTCAAGCATATTGGCAGCCCCGCTCTGTGCATATTTGTGAAATTCATATAACTGATCAGAAATTTTCTGTCTCCTTTGCTCTCTTTTCTCTCTATCTTATTTACAATTTCCAACAAGAAGAAGAATAATCATTCATGAGATAAAGATGATCAACGGATTGAGTGTTGGCGGTGGTCAGCAGCAGGCAGCAGCAAATACGAAGGCGAAGTCAAGTGGTGCTGCTATAACATTGCACTTTACTTACAACAACAACAACAACAACAACAACAGCAATAGCAACAATATCAGCAGCAGGAGCAACAATAAGAATTACAACAACCAAAACCATATTAGTGGCCATAAAATGGACCATCAAATGAACAACAATCAAAAGGAATCGCTGTCTACAAAGGTGCTCAAAATAATAGAAAGCATCAGAGGCGGAGGAGGAGAAGCAGCAGAAGCAGCAACTGGTAAAACTGCTACTATAGCAGGCACGCCAAAAGCAGTAGAAGACGCAACAGGTGGCAGCGTTGGTGGGGGAGTGGCCAGCTTAAATTTGCTGCCAATGCCCATACGGCGCACATCTTTGTTGCACCAAGCAATTTCGAGTACCTCAGCAATCACCAAAGAGAAGGAGCGTCCGCAGCAGAAAACAGCCAAGCCACCAGCCTTGGCTTTGCCTTTGTTGTCCCTGACGCCACAGAAACAACAACCAGAGCCGCATCAGGGACATCAGCCACAGCGCACCGAAGACCAGGAGCACGCTTTTCGACTCGTCGAGGATGTGCACAACTATGCCAAGCTGCAGGACTACAGTGAAGACGATGGGGAAGACCTTCTCGACGACGACGAGGACAATGACGACGACGACGACGACGAAGAGGAGCAACAGATGACAGTGCCGATGAGAGTGCAGCAGGAGGTAACGCGCATACAACTGGAGGACACCGAAGAGCATGTGGACGTGGTGACAGTGCCGCAGCAGGAACTGGTCCAGCAAAAACTGCAGTTAGAGCCTACAGCAGTTGGATCACCCAACAATGAGACGGGGGACAGAAGGCCAGAGCATCATGCCCGGCGACCGATGAATGCATTTCTCATCTTCTGCAAACGGCATCGGGCCATTGTCAAGGAGCGTTACAAGTCCCTGGAGAATCGGTGAGTCCATTGATCCCAACGTACAACTACCGGCAACATTTTTAATAATTTCTCCTCCGCAGAGCCATTACCAAAATACTCGGCGACTGGTGGGCAGCACTCGATGAACAGGAGAAACATTGCTTTACTGATTTGGCACAGCAGGTAAGGAGAGCTCCTCCTTAAATGTTAACTTAAACGCTTGAGCCCTTTCCCATTTCCAATTTAATATTTACAGAACAAAGATGCGTTTTTCAATGCCAATCCAAATTTTAAGTGGTATAAATTGCCAGCTCCCCCCTTGCGCACACTGGCAACACGACCCGGCAATGCAGCGACCCCTGCAATCGGCGGCCACCTGACCGACGAGAACCCACAAAACACTCAGCAGCAAGTCCAGCTGCAGTGGGAGCGCAACGAGCTGCATGCGGCACCGATGACCGCTTCTCTCTCCGCCGCCAAGTTACTGCGAGGAAACTTTTTCAAGCTGGCCGACGAAACCCAGATGGGGGAACTGAGCGCTCTGCTGCAAGCACAAGTGCAGGAGAAGGCGTGTGAGCTGCAGCAGGTCCTGAGCGAAACCAGTCAGTTCCTGAGCACCCATATGCCTGGTGGCACCAAACGGCCGATTTCTCAGGACAGCAACTCGAGCAACTCTAGCGAGGAGGATGTGGGTGGCCTGGGATCATCCCCCTGCAAGAAGGCGAAGTCTTCCCGCTCCTGCAAGGGCAAAATCTACCAGGAGCTAGTAAACTCCGGCCAACTGGCAGCTGTGGCCAAGAAGAGTAAAAGCCGCCTGAATAGCGGCGGACAAGGAGCCGGTTTCTTTGGAGACGCTGCCGTAGATGCCGCCAGTCCCCACTCGCAAGCAGTGCGCCAGCAGATGGACAGCCTGGAGGTAGCCACCAGCACGTCTTGCAAACACCCAAGAAGCGTCTCCGAGTCGAGCAGCAGTGGCGGCGGTGGCTTCGACCTGGAGGAGAAGATCAAAGAACTGACTGCGCTCAGTCTGGACGCCTACTTGCAGCGCAAGCGCAGCACCAAGAAAAAGAAGAAATTCACAGCTGGCAAGAAGCAGCGCAATTCGAACAGCACCAGTGCTGGGGGAGCAGCATGCGGAGGAGGACCAGCAACAGGTGCAGCTGGCGCAGGGAAAGCAGCGGCAAATGAGCTTGTCAGGAAGGAGGCCCAGCGGCAGGCAGCCGTTGTGGGCAGTCAGAAGCGCAAGGCTCGCAAGGAGAGCATCACACGTCGCGACGTAAGCGCCATTGAGCAGGAGGTGGCGTCTATTCTACCATTGACCATCAACGGGTGCTACTACTTCGACCAGACCGCCTCCCCGGATGTAGAAGCAAAGGCAGCAAACAACTCGTCCCTGACCCTGTCCACTACCTCCACTTCACTTTCCTCCTCGTCCTCTGCGTCGCCGCCACTCTCCTCGGCCTCCTCGTCGTCGTCTTCATCGTCGTCGTCCTCGCAGGCAGCTTTCGATGTGACCTCTACATCTGATCTACTCATTCTGGCCGAAGTAGCCGCCAACCGCACTGAGCTGACCAAGTCCAACTAACAGGGGACTCGGATGATGCCGCCTCCGAGCACTATGCATCATGCCACTCCAGCAGAACGAGCACCAGCCCCAGAACCAGAACCAGCACCAGCACCAACACCAGCTGGACGGAGGAAGCAAGGCTATATAGCACCTGAACCTGCCCACCTATCCCGCGCATTGTTTTTAACCCTTTCCTCCCGCCAGTCATGAATATTATTGTTTTCCCCCCTCTCTTTCATGCATATGCATGCGCATTCGTTTTGCATAATGCAAATCGTTTTAGTAGTGGTGTGGTGGTGGTGGTGCGACAGAGACGAACGCCTCGGCATGATGAAGAAACAGACATTCGCTGATCTACAATTTAGTCAATAATATTATGTAAAAAGAGAGAGCGCAGGCAGATGTATGCGTGACAGAAAAATTGATATATATATATTTTTTTTTTTGTTGTGATAGGCAACTCAAATCGTTCATGAATCGGTTCTATTATCATTATCACACGCATGATATATTTATATGGATACCATATTTTTTTTATAGATGACTTGTTCTGTTTTTTGTTAAGTTTCTCTTTGATCGGGCCGCGTCCGAAATTACCAACAGCTGGACGCTCATTAAGTGTTAATTATTACTATAATTTCTAATATTTAGTCGTAATTTATTACTATATGTGTCGAAACGCAATCATTATGCAAACAAAAATATATTCATCAAAAAATAAATATTTTTTAATTCTCTCTGCGCTGCTCTGAATTCGAATTTAAATTTGAACCCGAACTGCAAGTCAGTCGGTAATCGATATGGATAGATAAAGCAACCGTGTTCGGATCTTAGTGTGGCCAGATGATTTTTCAATTCAATGCAGAACCAACAACAAACGTGATTTTTAGCCGGCTGCAAGATAAGGTTCGACTCTACTCCCAACCAACCGCCACTTGCACAGATAAGCCGATGCGATCCAATTGGGCGACGAAGGTGCCAGAGTACGAGGCCAAGATGGCGGGCGCGTGATGGGGAATGTGCCGGCTCACGTGCAAGGGAACGAACGGCAGCAGCACAACAGCATCAGCACGCGAACAAAACAGCTGCCTTGCCACACTCTCGCAGAAACACACACAAAAGTGTGGCACCCCTGCCATCCCCCCAACCCAACCGAACCCACCCCAAATACCAAAACCATACACCGTTTTGACCATTCTGGCAAGCTTTGGACGAGCTTTCGCCACCAGTTTCGCTTGAAAATGTTGGCCTTAATTTAGTTTGTTCGCGCATTCAGACCCTTACAGTTCATTTTTTTCTCTTTCGCTCTCTCCACCCGATTTTCGATACCGGTGCGAACGTGTGTGTGCAACAAGACCAAGAGTAGCCAGGAACGGGACGAACGAGCGGGCCAACGAAATTCGTAAAAACTACAAATCGCTTAAAAGAAGTGTGGCTGTATTCAATCGAGGTACGAACAGTACGCTACGGATTCTCTGTCATCGGCACTGCCGCGCACTGCCCGTCCCGCTGCCGAATCTGTCAGACCACAAATCAGGGAAACTCTTAGAATCAAATCCAAAAAACACAACAAACAGTTATTTTTAATTAAATTTTGGGTCCAGTCCGTGATTTCAAACGATACAAATTATTTGTTGTGTATTTGTCGATGAGAGGCAGTTGGAAAAGTGTAATTTATGCTCGTAAAAGATAATTGAAAAGCGCTGAAAAAAAGAAGAAAAAGGTAAAGAACGCACGCACACACAGATACACATACGCAAATGTGAAAAAATTTCGATGGAAACCTAGGGGGGAATGGGAGCGGTGTAACCGTTTCCGAATCGGGTGTAGGTGTGTATGCGAGTGTCATAAAAGGATCTCTGTGTTGTAGCGAGAGAGTACGGTTATATAATAAAATTAGTCGCTGCCTCTTAGCCGCGCGTTGCTCTCTCTCGCTCCATCCACCTTCCCGCTGAGACTTGAGCTAGCAACAGAAAGCATTTTTGATGAATTTGCAACTTAATTTGTGTATAGTGCGGGGGGTTCTGGTTCTGCTCTGCTCTGCCTTCCCATCTCGAGCGCTGCCTGCGCCCCTACTCCACCTGCTTTTGAGTGTCTTCTGTCTGTCTGATGAGTGCCGTCGGGAGGGAAGAGAGCCTATAATAATAAATTATAATGAAACTTTTGCAATGAAACCCGACAAGTTTTGGTTTGATTGCTCTGCCGCAGAGACATTGGAGGCGGAGCAGAACTAGTGGTGGCAGGGCAGCATCTTCAGAACTAAAGGGAGCAGCGGCAGCAGAAAACAGATAAGATGGGGAAAACACTGACAGCTGCGTTAGGGAAGGCAAAGAAAGCAGTTGCAGCAATGATAGGCTGAGAGGGCAGTAGAAGTGACAGTGGCAGTGGCAGTGACAAGAAGAGGAGGAACAGCGTCTAGCGTGCATTTAGCATGCCGCTAATTAATTAAGAGTAAAGAAGAAGAGAGGAGCGTAGGGGAGAGCCGAGGATGGGAAGGGGGTGGTCGTCACAGTCAGGGCCTTTCTGAGGAGTACGTGTACTTTCATCACATTGCGCTCATACTTTCATCTTACCCAGCAGCAGATGATCACCTCTCCCCTCCCCTACAACACTTAATTAACACCAATTAGTGTGTTTTCCATGTTTGCGGCGCATATCAATTAAATCAAAGCATCCAGAAGAGTGAGAAAGAGAAGCGCCCGCAGGGAAGGAGGCTTCAATCGTAATGAAAATCATAGCCAAAGCTAAATCCAAATCCAGAATCCCATCGCTAGGGGGCTCGCGCTGCTGTGACGTCACATCGCCATATTTCTAAGAGGGCATGAAAAGGGATGAGACACGGAAACAGGGTCAGACACAACTGTTATGTAAAAGCAGAACGCGAACCGAGCAGGATTTTCATGCTTCGTGCCCGTCGCCGTCGCCGTCGCTCGTGTGTGGCGGGGACGAAGAACGGCTCTGCCAATTTGCCGTCGTTCGGGCATTGCGCTGCTGCCGATACCTCTGCTTTGGCCTTCGAGGCAGTCGTCACAGTTTGTTTCGTGCTTTTGCGATAGCAAAACGTTTGGGCGTACAAAGCGCAATAACACATAACACAGGGCAAAAAGTAATAGTCAAAAAACATTTACAAAAAAAAACAGCGAAACGAAGAAATTGAAATAATGTTTTTAATTGAACACTTTTTGAGGTGTCTCATTGTGTGTGTTCTCGTGTTTGTGTGTGTGTGTGTGTGTGTATATGTGCGCCTCTAACGCGTTGCTCTCTTCAGATCTCTGTGGGACCCGTTTGCAATTGTTGTATAACAGAAGCAGGCAACCGCTCGAAGAGAGCCATGTGACAGAGAGGGAGAGCAAAAACAAAATCAAAAGCTCTCGTAGTACCGAGAAGAATGGGAAAGCAAAAGCAAAATCAGCTGTGCGTCTCAAATATGTTTTTTTTTTTTTTTGTTACAGCAACAGCAGCCGCATCAGCAAGAAGAAGACTGGAAAGCATACACAAGGAAAACGAGTGAAATTCGCTTGCGACAGCCACACGAGGAACACAAGAAAAGGAGCATCAAGACGCGGCAGTAGAGCGACTGATCCATCGAATTCCCTTTCCTCCCCCGAAGCACTTGACCTTGTAATGGCTCTACTTCGGTCGCTGAGGACCCAACGTACAACATACTTGATCAACAGCCGCACCAGCGTCAGTGTTAGCTCGAGCAGCTCAGTCGCCGCCGCTGCCAAAAGACACAGCCTCCATACCACAGCCGCCCTTGAAGCCGACGTCCAGGCCAGCAGCCAGAACCCCAGCCAAGAGCAGCATGTGCAGGCAGCGGGCATCTTGCGTCGCCGTCAGCAGCATCATCAGCTATTGAGTCGTCTTATTTACTCAGCAGGAGCAGCAGGAGTCGGAGGATCGAGGCAGCACACACGTTATGTGCACTCCGGCCAGAACGGGCGCCAGTCCCACCAGCTGGCGCAGTCCAGCGACGTCGAGGGGGAGGCCCTGCGCGAAAAGCGACAGCTGGGAAAGTCTGCGTCGCCCAAGCCGTCCGGGACGCCGCAGCGCGACCCGCTCGACGTGGGCTTCAACGATCCGGTCGCCGCCTTCAAGAGTAAGACCACGTGGGAGCTGGTGCGGGCCTATATGGTGTACATGATCTGCTCCAGCGAGAAGCTGGTCGAGCACAACATGACGGTAAGTGGCGGCGGTTCCTGTGAGGTTCTCTTTCCTGCGCTCTCGCTTCTTCTCCTCAGCGGTGCTGCTGTCGACGCTGATCCGTTTTGTGCTCTCTTAGATGCTCTTTTGCTGCCTTTATCTCTATCACATGGGATCTGTGTAACACACATTTGTGTGTGTTCCCGGCTCCCTTTGGTGCTTTGAAGTTATGCTATTCGCTCCCAAATAGAGCGAGCGACAGCCTGTCTTTTCCTGTTGCTGCACCCGCTCTCCACTCTTAGGTTTCCCAGTTCCCCCACTAAGGTGCACCCTCGTCGTTTCCCTTAATTTCTCGATCTCTTGCACTTACACGTTGCTTCTTCTCTTTGGCTCCAGCTCTGACCTGCTTACTAACTCCCCATCCCCATCCCCATCCCCACCCCCACCAAACATCCTGCATAGTGCTTCGTATTCCTGCGCATTTCTTATGCAGAATATTAGTGCCAGCTGTTGGCTTCTCTTCCGTTTCCTTTGTGAATGTGTGTGAATTCTTGGCTGATTGCTTGTCTACATACGTGATGTTGTTTTCGTTGTTGATGCAGTGCAGCGCCAGGGGCACGGGCGTGGCGTGGGCGTGAGCGTGAGCAGGTGCTGCACTCGTCCGCAAATTGTTGAGTGAATGGCTTGAATGACTGACTGATTGAGTAAGCGCTCGGTGTGCATGTGTTTGTGCCAAAGAAAAGGAAAACTTTTGCATTGCAAATTGCAGTTTGACGGCGGAGAGTGACCTTGCCAGCGCGCCAGGAAAAGTGAGGCAGGCAGCAGATGCACAGACACACAGATACACACACGCACACATGCTTGTCTCTAGACAAGTATACGCGTAGGCAGGCAGTCAGGCCCCCAAAAGAGCGCCAATCAGAGCGCAGGCAGCAACAACACCAGCAAAACAGCAGCAACAAAACGTGAAATGAAGACTAGCTTCGAGCCTCGAAGCTTTTGACACCCTTGCATATCCAGTGTTCCCATGGCGATCGTCATCCGATTTTGATCGAATATTTTTTTAAGAATTGGATATTTTACTTGGATTCATTTCCTATAGCTTGTCGGAATTCCATGGTAAAATATCGCTCAAGAAGGGTCTGTGAGAAGCTACAGCAGGATCCTTCAAAACTGAAGGACTCGATAGTTTTATGTTCCGAAATGCGTTCTTCTTTGCCTCGTAATCAATCACTACTGCACTCGGCCAGGGCGCATCCCATCCCCCCGCTCTCGTGTTTTGGGGTTGAGGGTGTTATGTTTGAATTACGCTTTCACCACCCACCCAAACC